GCACACCCCTCACACGTTTCGTGGCCCCATAGGGAGCTCCACCGAAGGCCCCAGTGGCTGCGTTCGCATGCCTCCCACCACCCATTTCGGCACACCCCTCACACGTTTCGTGGCCCCATAGGGAGCTCCACCGAAGGCCCCAGTGGCTGCGTTCGCATGCTTCCCCACCACCCATTTCGGCACACCCCTCACACGTTTCGTGGCCCCATAGGGAGCTCCACCGAAGGCCCCAGTGGCTGCGTTCGCATGCCTCCCCACCACCCATTTCGGCACACCCCTCACACGTTTCGTGGCCCCATAGGGAGCTCCACCGAAGGCCCCAGTGGCAGTGGTTTGCGGCATGCCTCCCCACCCATTCGGCACACCCCTCACACGTTTCGTGGCCCCATAGGGAGCTCCACCGAAGGCCCCAGTGGCTGCGTTCGCATGCCTCCCCACCACCCATTTCGGCACACCCCTCACACGTTTCGTGGCCCCATAGGGAGCTCCACCGAAGGCCCCAGTGGCAGGGTCCGCATGCCTCCCCACCACCCATTTCGGCACACCCCTCACACGTTTCGTGGCCCCATAGGGAGCTCCACCGAAGGCCCCAGTGGCAGGGTTCGCATGCCTCCCCACCACCCATTTCGGCACACCCCTCACACGTTTCGTGGCCCCATAGGGAGCTCCACCGAAGGCCCCAGTGGCAGGGTTCGCATGCCTCCCCACCACCCATTTCGGCACACCCCTCACACGTTTCGTGGCCCCATAGGGAGCTCCACCGAAGGCCCCAGTGGCCTGGTTCGTATGCCTCCCCACCACCCATTTCGGCACATCCCTCACACGTTTCGTGGCCCCATGGGGATTTCCACTGAAGGCCCCAGTGACTGGGTTCGCATGCGCCCCCACACCCATTTCGGCACACCCCTCACACGTTTCGTGGCACCATAGGGAGCTCCACCGAAGGCCCCAGTGGCTGCGTTCGCATGCCGCCCCCACACCAATTTCGGCACACCCCTCACACGTTTCGTGGCCCCACAGGGAACTCCACCGAAGGCCCCAGTGGCTGCGTTCGCATGCCGCCCCCACACCAACTTCGGTGTACCCCTCACACGTTTCGTGGCCCCATAAGGAGCTCCACCGAAGGCTCCAGTGGCAACGTTCGCATGCCGCCCCCACACCCATTCCGGCACACCCCTCAAACGGTTCGTGGCCCCATAGGGAGATCCACCGAAGACGGTACTCACAGCAGCATTACTCACAACTGCATATGGTTGGGTCCTTCGCCAGGCTAATTTTCCAGTTGGTTTTTTGCATTCTCGCTGTTTCGTGTTTCCAGCGCTAAAGCACAGCCCAAGACAAGAGGCCCCAAGAGGCCCCCAGGAGGCCCCACGAGGCCCCCAAGAAGCCCAAAAGAGGCCCCAAGACGGCATCCAAAAGGCTTCAAAACTCTGTCTAAGAGGCCCCCGAAGACATGCCAAGAAGGTCACAGGACGACTCCAAGAAGCAGTCCAGGATGCTCCGGGGAGGCCCCAAGGGGCCTCCAAGAGAGTCCAAAAGGCCTCCAAGAGGCCCCCAAGCGGCCTCAAGCAGCATCCAGGAGGCCGGAAAGAGGCCCCCAAGAGCCTAGCCAGGCGGGGGCCGAAAGAACATTTCCAGCCCTGGGCTCCCGAAGACCCAACAGGAAGCCACATGTAACTCGCAAGACCCCCCCCCCCAACGCTCCCGAGACGCCCAAAAGGCTTCCCAGACAGCCCAAAATAAAAATCAAAGAATGCGATGCACAGAGGTGCGTTTGGACAAGAATTTCGAGACGACGCCAGCCTTGGCCACGAAGAGCGCCTCAGAGGCGGACGGGAGGGTCATCCGCTTGCGGAAAGGGGGTCATCGGGGGGCGGAAAAGGGGGGTCATCCGGGAGCGGAAAGGAAGTCATTGCACGACAGATGAGCGATGCCAAACATGAGGTTCGATTGCGTGGACATTCATGCCCAAGCTGCCCGCGTAAAGTCGCACGCAGGCGCGCCATTTTTCGCTTGGTCTGCCGAGCGAGCTGCCCGCGTAGGTCATCGCGAAAGGTCGCCGAATCCTCGTGCGTACGACCCCGTTTTTCGTCGTCGCTCAGTTGTCTGGGCTTCTCACCAAGACCTCCGCAGCTTGATTTGTTGGGCCCGCTCGACCCTTCCCCAGGGTAGATTTTTTATCCCCAGCCGTCTTTTGACAGTCTTGGGGCCCAGAAACAGCCGGCATTCAGGCGCCGACAATGTCGAAATTATCATATGCGATTTTTCGGCCTTCGCGGCTTTGAAGACGGCCCAAGAAGCTCCCAATATTTGCCCAAGAGAGCCGAAGACACTCCCAAGAGGCCCTCAGGACAGCCCAAGCGGGGGCCAAGACAGCCCAAGGGCTGCCCAAGACGGCCAAAGTTAGCCAAAAAACGGACCCCAAGAAGGCCCAAGAAGGCCCCGAGTCGCCCAAGACTGCTGCCCAAGATGGCCCCAAGATGGTCCAAGAAGGCCCCGAAAGGCCTCCAAGAGTACCCCCAAGAGGACCCCAAGAGACCGAATTCGTTACTTCCTGTAGGCGAAACGTTCATTTTAAGCATATATTGTTTGGGGGCCTTCACGGCTTTAAAGGCGGTCCCAGAGGCGCTCGAGACTTCCCCAAGCGAACCGAAGACGCTCCCAAGAGGCCCCCCAAGATAGCCCAAGAAGGCGCCAAGATTTCCCAAGGGTCGACTAAAACGGCTCCAGGAGGGGTGCAAGAGGGGAACTCCGACTCGAAAGTTGCAGCCGCCCAAAGAACCTCCCAGGAGGCCCCAAAAGTCCTCGAGAGGCCCCGAGAGGTCCCAAAGAGACCCCCAAAAGGCCCAAACGAGGCCCCCAAAAGGTTAAAACGGATAGGGCGGCCTCCAAAAGGTCTCCCAAAGGGGTCAAAAGAGGTCTTCTTGCGGAGAGGCCCGAGCGAGACCGGGGCTGCTCTGGGACTTTGTAGATTTTTCGTGTTCTCACTGTTTCGTGCTTCCGTCGCCCCGGAAATCAGGTCAAGACGGCCCAATAGGCACAAAGAGGACGCCACGACGGCGCAAGGGAGCCCCAACCCAAAACGGCCCAAGAGTGCCCCAAGACGGCCCAAGAGGCGCCCGAGATCGCCCAAAAGGGCCCCAAGACGGCCCCAAGAGGGGGGAACACGAACCGACAAGTCGAGCCTTCCGCCCCAAGAGGCCCCCAGGAGGCCCCAAGAGGCCCCCAATAGAGCCCAAGAGGCCCCCCAGAGGCCCCGCGATGCCCCAAAGAGGCCCACAAAGACGCCGCAAGAGCACCCCAAACGGAGTCGGCTAGAAACTAAGCGCGCGCGTAGCGCGCGCGTGGTTCTAGTATGTATGTATATGTGCAAATATTTTCACAGACGTATCTCTATATATAATATATATCTTAAGTAAGCACATCGATCAGCGGTATTATGGGAGCCGTACTGTGACCGAGGGTGGCTCGAGCGCGCGCACTGGTCGAAACACCGCAGAAAAGGGACGCTGCCATTCAGGCTGACCAGCCGCGCCCGTCGCCTCCGATTTTTTCCCTTCTGCTGCCGTCGTGGATGCCATGGGCAGTTCTCGTACTAAGGCTCCACAGCCGCCGTGCATCTGCAGTGGGGGCCGTGTTTAGTCTGATCGTAGCCTGGGCGTGTGCATTGGTCAAAGCACCACACAAGAGGTGGCGCTGCCATTCCGGCTGACCAGCCGCGCCCGCCGCCGCCCATCTCCCTCTCTGCTGTCATCACGGATGCCATGGGCAGTCCTGATGTCCATGCCCCAGAATCGCAGTGCATCTGCGCTGGGGACCGTGTTTAATCCGAGCGTGGCCCAGGCGTGTGAATTGGTCAAAGCACCACAGAACAACGGGCGCTGCCATTCCGGCTGACCGGCCGCGCCCGCCGTTTTGTTTCCTTCTGCTGTCATCGTGGATACCATGGGCAGTTCTCATACTGATGCCCCACAGTCGCAGTGCATCTGCAGTGGGGACCGTGTTTAGTCCAAGCGTGGCCTGGGCGCATGCATTGGTCAAAGCACCACAGAAGAGGTGGCGCTGCCACTCTGGCTGACCAGCCGCGCCCGCCGCCGCGCATCTCTTTTTCTCCATGCCGATGCCGTGAAACCGTTTCTCATCATGCCCTGGCGATAACGGGCGTGACCGTGGGGTGGGGTGAGCCTTGGGACAAACCCGAAAACACGGGCGAGCAAATAGCAGAAGGGGCCATGTTCGAAAATTCGCGAGCGTTTCCTGCTTCAGAACGAAACAGACTTGACTTGGTATGTACATGCGGAGTCCCGTCGCTCCCCCTCCCCCCATACCCCCCCTCGCCCCCCCCCGCGGCCCCCAAGGAGACCATTTTTGTAATGTGCAGCGCCTCCTTTGTTAAAACACAGCCTGGTCCCCAGGAAACCATGTTTGAAAAATTGCGAGCGCTTCCTGCTTGAAAACATAAAGAAAGACTTTGGTCTCAGCGGTGCCCCGCGCCACTCGTTCACCCCCCCGATCCTTTGCCCCGCAAGCCCTGCGCACCACGCCCCCAACCCCCACAAAACCAGATCGAAAAATTGCGGTGCTTCACGAACACGAAGACAATGCGTGATAATAGCGAGGCCCCCCCGCCTTTCCTCCGCCCTCGCGATCTCTTGGCCAGCAAGCCTCCGCAAAATGCCTCCCAAACTCCAAAACCGAGAAAACTTGGAAACAACAAATGCGAGCATTTCCTGGTTCAGAATACAAAGAAAATCTTCGGTGTTAGCGACGCCCCCCGTCGAACCCCTCTCTTCCCGACCCCTCGCCCCCCAGCCTCCGCAAAACCAATCTCTAACATGCGTGAAAGTTTCCCTTTTTTAATGAGCAAGGGAAAATGCTGGTTGACGTAATGCTACAAAACAACATTACGTCGACCAGGCGTGCCTTGATCAGTGAACCGGGACACAGCACCGCCGCACATCACAAGTCACTTGCGAAGACCGTCCAGCCGTGGCGACGAGGCTTGTCTGAAGAGCAACGAAACCATATAATTATGTCTGTTTGACTGTGACACGAGTGCGCCCGACCCCGTTCCTGCCTCATCCCGTTGCTTATCCATCCCTTCCTCCTCCTCCTCCTCCTCCTCATCATCATCATCATCATCCTCATCCTCCTCTTACTCGCCCTCCTCCTCATCGTCGTCGTGATCATCATCATCATCATCATCATCATCATCATCATCATCATCATCATCATCATCATCTTCATCTTCATCTTCATCTTCATCTTCATCTTCATCATCATCATCACCATCACCATCATCACCATCACCATCACCATCACCATCATCGTCGTCGCCATCATCCTCCACATTAGTCCTCCTGCTACTTTACCGCATCCTTTTAACCGCTGCCAACATGCTCTGCTGTAGGGTAGTCCAGAACCAAGAAAACGTAAGACCCCGACCTGCCCCAAGTGGGGGTTCGCCATCTTGTTTTCGTTGCTGCATCCTTCATTCGTTGGGCCAATGCAGTATACATGTGAACAAATCCCACCAACACTCTGGGCGCAGGTGGTCTAGAGCGTTATCTCATTTGCCCTCCTTCCTCCCTTTAGTCGAAGAGGTTTCCCTCACCCCTTCCAGGGTCTGGGCGGTGGCGCGCAAGGTGTGAGAGCGTCCTTTTTGGCCCGAGATTGCTCCAAGAGGGCAACAGAGAGCCCAAGATGGCCTCCACAATGGCCCACGATTCTTCAAAACGGCTCAAGATAGCCTCCGACATGCCTCCAAAAGGCTGCAAGACGGCCCCGAGACGGTTCCCACCCCCAAGAGTTCGGAAAGATCACCAACAACCTAAATAATCAAGTTGTTTTGCCTTGCCCCCTTTTCGCTTCCGATAAGCTGTTGACCTCGAGATGGTCCCAAGATGGCCTAAACGAGTCGCAAGAGGGGTCCGCGAGGGCTCCAAGACGGACCTCAGAGCGCCTAAGAGGGGCCTAAGGGCGGCCCAAGGTGGCTCCAAGACGCCTTTTTGTGGTCGCCCATTCGTCTCCCGAGGGGGGGGGGGGGGCTGAATATCCGACCCCCCATTATTTGAGCCATGGTGCCCAAGACGGCCCCAAGAGGCCTCAAAGACCTCCCCAAAGAGCCCCAAGAGGGCCCCAATAACGCCCGAAGAGAGCCCAAGAGGGCCTCGAGAGTGCCCCAAGAGGCTCCGCGAGGACCCTAAGAGAGCATCAACATGGCTCCAAGAAGCCTCCGAGAAAACGCTGCCAAGGCGGTTGTTACACTGCATGCTTCTACACTTCCTTGGTCAAGGCAACTTGCCGGGCGATATGTTTCTGGATGGGCTTGTGGGGACACGCGAAGCGTGAATAATTAGGGACAAGCACCCGCGCCCACCAATGCGAATGGAAACAAATTGACATACGTAGGCTTTCATGGGCGTATCTGCATATTACAAGGGACGCAGTGGTGCAACTGCGCACTGGCATGGGAGGCTCGCAATCACATCGGGGGGGCGCGGGTTTGAAGCATCTGGAACAATCACAAGACTACGTGCTCAACACTTTCAGCGTGCACATGTGGAGAAGGACCGCGACGACGGCTTTCCCCCCCGGAGACGCGACCAAGAAGAGATGCGGCACGAAGGCGCCAGGCGCGCAGGAGAAACCCGCGAGGCCCGCGAGAGCACAGACGTGCGCCGAACGAATGCAAAGTGTAGCGCTAAGCAATCGAAAGGGCGCCGCTGAGACAGCTCAGCGCGATATCCTCCCCAATGCCGAAAGCATCAGAAGTCACGTTGTTGCATGTTCTTTCGCCCCCCGCCCTGGGCTGTCAATGAGACCCTCTGGGGCAACATTAAGGAAACACTGGGACTCTCCTAAGAGGGCAGAGTGGGGAAGTGGGGGGAAGATGCAAGGCTGGGGGGGCGCATGGCCCAATCTTAACTCAGATGGGGCGGTTCTTTAGATTCCTGGGGATCCCTGAAGATTTTAGGGCTCTCAATATTCCTGCACATTCCTGGAGATTCCTAGGCGTGCCCAGAGGTTGCGGGAGATTCCTAAATCTTACGACATATTCCTGAAGATGTCTGGAGACTCCCAGAGATTCCCAGAGACCCCTTGAGACTCGTAAGCCGTCTTAAATTTTTCATAGCTTCTGCAAGATTCTTTGAGATTCCTAGAGTTGTTTGGAGATCCCGAGATTCCTAGTGCCCCCCTAAGATCCCTGGCGATCCCCAGAGATCCCCACATATGCCGAAGGACTCCTAGATATTCTTAGAGATGCCACGAGATTCTCACAATTGCTCCAATATCCCAAATATTCAAACATATTCTTAGATATCCACAGAGATCCTCCGGATATTCCCAAAGATCCGCAAGGATTCGGAAGGGGCTCCCAGAGATCCCTGAAGACTCATGGGGATTAGTATCGACCCCTACAGTTGCCCAACGGTTCCTTGAGTTTCCTGGAAACTATTCGAAATTCTGAGATATACGTAGAGATGCCTGGAGATTCCCCGAGCTTCCTGGATATCAATAAATCCCAGAGATTGATTATTGAGATCCCCAATCATTCCTGCATATTCCTACATATCTTTGAACATTCCCGGAGCTTCCTAGAGATTCGAAAGGCGTCCTAGACGCCCCTAGAGATTCGGAGAGATTTCGAGAAATCCCAAATGATCCCACGCGATGGTGAGACATTCCTAGAGTTTCTTAAAGATTCCTTGAGGTTCCTATCGGTTCCTAAAGATTTCCCGAGATTCTTGGAAATGCCCGGAGATTTCTAAAGATTTCTAACGCGTCCTGACGGCCTCTTAAGATTGCGAGCGTTCCCCAGAAATCCCAAGAGATTCTCAGGGATGCCCAAGGATTCTAGAGCTTCCGCGATATTCTTAAATATTCCGAGAGATTCCTGGACATTCCTGAATATTCCTAAAGCTTCCGCAGGATTCCCGAGGGTGCCCAAAGATCCCCAGAGACTCGCAACGATCCTTAGATATTCTAAGAAATCCCTAGATATGTCTACGTAGGCATCTCTCGAAATTCATTCCCAGAGATTGCTTGAGATTCCTCGCCCAGAGGTTCTTGAGAGCTTCCTAGAGATGCCAGAGGAGTGCCCTGGAAAAGCCAACAGGTTCCTAAGCTATTCCTAGAGATTCTCAAACAAAGGTCCCTGCATATTCGAAGAGGTCCCTAACACAGTCATGGAAATTCTGACGGATTCCCAGAGATCCCTATACATTCCTAGATCATCCCAGGGATTCCTCGGATATTCCCAGAGATTCCTCGAGATCCCCAGAACATCCGAGAGAGATTCCCAGCGATTCCTTTTCTCTCCTTTCCTTTTCTCTCCTCTCCTCATGTCCTCTTCCCTCCTCCTTTTCTCTCTTCTCCTCCTTTCTCTTTTCTCCTCCTCTTCGCTTCTCTCTTCCTCTTCGCTCCTCCCCTCCTTTTCGCCCGTCTCCTCCTTTTCGCCCCTCTCCTCCTTTTCTCAATTCTCCTCATTTTCTTGTCTCTCCTCCATTTCTCTCCTCTCATCCTTTTCTCTCCTCTCCTCCTTTTCTCTCCTCTCCTCACTTCCTCTCCTCTCCTCTTCTCTCCTCTCCTCCTTTTCTCTCCTCTCCTCCTTTTCTCTCTCTCTTCTCCTTTTCTCTCCCCTCCTCCTTTTCTCTCATCTCCTCCTTTCCTCTCCTCTCCTCCTTCTCTCTCCGTTCCTCTTTTTCTCCCCACTCCTCCTTTTCTCCCTAAGTCCGTGCCGGAGGCCGCGTCGGAAACCGAATCGGAAATTGTTTCTGAAACAGTCTCGGGAGCCGTTTCAGAGGCCGTTTCGGAAGACGTTTCGAAAGCCGATTCGGGGGCCGTGTCGAAAACCGTTTCGGAGGCCGTTTCGGAAACCGTTTCGGAGGCCGTTTCGGACGCTGTGTCGGAAACCGTTTCGGAAACTGTTTCTGAAACCGTTTCGGAAACCGTGCGGGAAGGCGTTTCGGAAGCCGTTTCGGAAGCCGTTTCGGAAACCGTGTCGGAGGCCGTGTCGGAGGCCGTGTCGGAGGCCGTGTCGGAGGGCCGTGTCGGAGGGCCGTGTCGGAGGCCGTGTCGGAGGCCGTGTCGGAGACCGTGTCGGAGACCGTGTCGGAGGCCGTGTCGGAGGCCGTCCGAGGCCGCGTCGGAGCGCGTCCGAGGCCGTCCGAGGCCGCGTCGGAGCGCGTCCGAGGCCGCGTCTTCTTCTCTCCTTCTCCTCTCCTTCCCTCTCCCCCCCGGGAATTCCTGGAACCCGGAACCCTAAGGTTCCGGGTTTTCTCCTCCCGGGACCTTGAAGAGTTGTGAAAAACCCGGAACCCTCGGGTTCCGGGGTTTGCACCCCTGGAATTCCGGGTTTTTCCTCCCTCCTCCTCCTCGTCCAGCCCCCCCTCCGTATCTTCCCTTTCGTTTCTCCGCCCCTTTCAGTATCGTGTCTGTGTCTGCGCTTCGGGTCGCCATTGCTTCCCCCTCGGCCTCGTCCTCCTCCTCCTCCTGCTCTTCTCCTCGTTCTGCCGTCGTCGCCCTCCGCGCGAGAGTCAGCAGCATACTGCGGGTCGGCGTCTGTGGGGTGGGAAGAGAAACTGTTCCAGCCCCCCCTCTCCAGTATTGCCACCGTGCTCAGAGTATTGCCGCCTGACCTCTGCGGCGCCAGTCGCGGCACCTCCGTCGGGGCGCGCTCCGCAATGACCGCCGCCGCGCCTCCCCCGCACCACTCGGAGGAGTCGGCCCTCCTCTTCGTGCCGAGGAGGCTGGACCTCAAGGTCGGGGTGGGCCCAGAGCGGCAGAAACATGGCCCTGGCTCCGGATCCGCAGCACGTTGGTAGATCTTCTGCCTCGAAAGTGTGCCATACGTGCGCCCCAAGCGAAGCTACAACGCAGGGCGGAGATTGCCGCCTCAGAAAAATAGGGCGACCTTTTCCAGCAAAGGTATGGCGGAAACAGCGACGGTAAAGAAGTGGGGCCGAGAAGTCGGCATCATATAAGCTTGACACGTCGTGCGGACCTTTCCGCCCTGCTTGCGAGATGGCCCAGAGCACGGCGGATCTGGAGCCAAAAGCGCCCTCGGAGGCCCGCGTGGCTTGTCTGTCGGCGGCGCGCGAGGGGGAGGTGAGAAGGCGAAGGCCTTCTAAGAAGGCGGCGGGGCTTCTCCGAAGCCCTCGCGCCTTCCAAGACGTTTTCTGCGTCTTCGGGGGGTGATCAAAGAACTTTCCAGAAGGCTGGGGGACTCCCGAGCCTTCTGAGAAGGCCCGCCCCCTCTCACTTCTCCCTGGGCGCGCAGCCGATTCCTTCCTTGTCAAAGTAAACTCACAGAGTGGAGGAGTAGGAGGAGGAGGAGGCGGAGGAGGAGGAGGAGGATGCGGAGGAGGAAGAAGAGGAGGAGGAGAACGAGGAGGAGGAGGAGGAGGAGGCATGGAGGAGGAGGAGGAGGAGGAGGAGGAGGAGGTGGTTGATCTCTGGGAGAAGGAGGAGGAGGAGAAGGAGAAGGACGAAGCGAGGAGGAGAAGGATGAGCAGGAGGAGGAGAAGGGCTGCCCCTTCTTTCTCCCCCCCCCCCGAGGGGGTGCCGCTGAGTCTCAGGTCGGCGTTGGATGCACGCTCCCCGTCCTCGGCGGCGCGCAAGGAGGAGGAGGAGGAGGAGGAGGAGGAAGAAGAAGAAGAAGAAGAAGAAGAAGAAGAAGAAGAGGCGGAGTATAAAGAGGAGGAGGAGGAGGACCAGTGTAAGCCCAAGAGCCATCAACGATGTTGGAATACCCTCCAAGCTCCCTCTTCATGTGCCCCTACAGCGGTGTATTGTCATTGAGGGAACTGCCTCGTTGGAAGACAACCGTTTGAAGACAAGGAAGCATGCCAAAACATGTTTCTCGGGATTCCAACGCCACGGATCAACCTGACTGTTGCGCCTTGACGACCCTGGATCGTGCCAGAACGCCATTCTTGGGATTGCAACACCGCGAATCAACGTTATTGCTGCACCCGCAATATCCTGAGTCCTTCCAGAACGCCGTTTCTGGTACGCTGACCATGGGAAACCGTGAAACTCTTGCAACTGTTATGCACGAATGTGCGCGGCGCTAAGGCGAGAGCCACATTTTGAAAAGGAACCGCCCTCAACCCGTGAAACTCTTGCAAATGTTGAAAATGAATGTACGCGGCGCTAAGGCGAGAGCCACATGTTGAAAATGGGTTATCCTCAATCCGTAAATTCTAAACTAACGCGCGCGGTGCTACGGCGAGAGCCACATGTTGAAAGCCACCCGCCCTCAATACATGAAACCCTTGCGTGTTTTAAACAGAATATGCGCAGCACTACGGCGAGAACCACATGCTGAAAACCACCCGCCCTCCATCTGTCAAACTGCTGCCAACGTTTTAACTTCAGAGTCATACATGGTGCAGAAGTCTCAGGCGAAACGCCTGGCCCGCCCTAAAAACTGGCCTCGGGGTGCGACAGGGAGAAATTATTTGTAAGGAAAAGGAATGGAGGAGGAGGAGGAGGAGGAGGAGGAGGAGGAGGAGGAGGAGGAGAGGAGGAGGAGGAGGAGGAGGAGGAGGAGAGGAGGAGGAGGAGGAGGAGGAGGGAGGGAGGAGGAGGAGGAGGGGGGGGGGGGGGAGGGGGAGGAGGAGGAGGAGGAGGAGGAGCCCACCCCTTCTCACTTCCCCACCCGGGCGCGCCGCTGAGGTCGGTGCTGATGGCCCCTCCCCGCCCTCGGCGGCGCGCTAGGAGGAGGAGGAGGAGGAGGAGGAGGAGGAGGAGGAGGAGGAGGAGGAAGAGGAGTATAAAGAGGATTTTTTACATCCACAGCCAGGGGCCCCACACTGCGGGGCAGCCACGACATTGTCGCACGCGGGGCCCTGGACGGCGCGTTGGCCGCCCAGGGACCCCGCGGCGCCCCGCACTCACGGCCGGCGGGCCAGGCGGGCCGAGCGGAACGGGGAAAAGGCAAGCCGCGGCAGTCGGGCTGCTGAGGACCTCCAGCGGTACGCTCAGCAAACCCGACCGCCGCGGCAAAGACGACGACGCGACGGAGAAACGACACGACACCACGGAGAGGACGGACCGCCCGGCACGACCCCCGGGACGAGAAGCCCAGGGAGGGACACCTGGCGCGAACGGGGGAGCTGCGCGCCAGGCGACCCCCTGGGGAAGGGGACCGCGCTTTTGGCGGCCGTCCCCAGGTGCGGGGGCTTGTCGCCCCGGAGGCCGAGCGCACCGCGAGGAGTATAAGGAGGAGGAGGAGGAGGAGGAGGAGGAGGAGGAGGAGGAGGAGGAGGAGGACGAGGAGGAGGACGAGGAGGAGGACGAGGAGGAGGAGGAGGAGGAGGAGGAGGACCGCGCTCAGGAGGGGAGGCAGGGCCTGGTGGGTCTTCTCGGTTCGAGGCCCGCCGCCCTCCGAGAAGGCCCGTCCGCTCATCACCGCCCCCCTCGGCTCGCCGCCGCCGTCCCCCCACTCGGCGCGCGGATCGCGTCGGAAGCGCCGCCAGGGGTGGCGGAAGGAGTGCCCTGCTTCGTGTCTTCCTCTTTCAGTTCGTCTCGTTCGTTTCGTGCAGTGTCGCTTCGTCCTGCTACATTTCGTCTTCCTTGGTGTCGTCCGCTGTCCTTTCGTCCGCTCTCGTTTCGTCCTCGTTCGGTTCGTCCTTGTTCGTTTCGTCCGCTTTCGTTTCGTCCGTTTCCGTCGTTTCGTTTTGTCCTCTTTCGAACTCCGCGCGGACCTCCGAATCCCCCACCCTCGGCGCGCTGAGCGCGTCAGTGGCGCCGCCCAAGGGCAGTGGAATCGGTGCCATCGATTATTGGAGGGCCGACCCGAGAAACCTGTGCGGACCTCCGATGATGGGGCTGCGTCTGTGCCGACGCCTGCTCCTCCAGAGGTGCGCTCTCGGGATCGCGTCGGCGCGGCCGCCCCGATGGCCTGGGACATGCCGGGCGAGCACGGCAGCGGTCTCCCGGACGACCTGCACGCGCTGGATGTGCCTGCGGCTTCCCGGGCATGCTTGCGGGACGAAACGGACTCGCGACGCGGTGTCCAGCGGAGGGAGGAGGAGGGAGGAGGAGGAGGAGGACGAGGACAAGGACGAGGACGAGGACGAGGAGGAGGAGGAGGAGGAGGAGGAGGAGGAGGAGGAGGGGGAGGAGGAGGAAGAAGAGGAGGAGGAGGAGGAGGAGAGGAGGACAAGGAGGAGGAGGAGGAGGAAGAGGAGGAAGAGGAGGAGGAGGAGGAGGAGGAGGAGGAGGAGGAAGGAGGAGGAGGAGGAGGAGGAGGAGGAGGAGGGGGGGGAAGAGGCGTCACCACCACCAGTGGGGCCACCGCCAGCGAGGGGATCCACGATGCCCCCCCGAGCGGGGGATGGCTCGAGACAGGGGGCTGCGGGCGGCACACCACCAGGAGGACCCTCCCTGGCGCCACACGCTGGTGGTGATGGTGGTGCCGCCTCGTTCCTAGAAGGAGGGCGAGGGAGGACGGCGGAGGAAGGATGGCAGACGAGCCGCCGAGGGGCCGAGGGGGTGCTGTGGTCCTTACTCCCCATTGGGGGAGCCAATCTCTCTCGACAGATCTTCGATACGGCGGGCTCCCGGAACACACAGCTCCCCCGATAGTGGCTGGCCAGGATGGAGGAGGACAAGAGAAGGATGGATGATGGAGGGGGACGGGGGAATCGGGAATACCCCACGGTCAAGAATAAGAAAACCACCCGCTAGGACAATTGACAACACAGCCGGGATCCCAAACACAGAAGACAGTAGCCGCTAAAGTGCACTACGTAAGCTGCGCTACGTAACATCCAACCCGTAGAGTGCACAACGCAACACGCACCAAGTAAAGCACACGACGTAACATACACGACGTGAACTACACCACGTAGCACAGAACCTGTAACATGCGCCCGCCAGACCTCTCCTTAAGTGCGTAAGGGAACTCTCCCAATGGGGCCCCCGTCAGACCTCGTACCGTATCGTTCCATCCTGCGTCTCGCTCAGGTCCATGGCCGAGGCTCGGCCGCCCCTCGTGGGCCCGGCCCAAGTTTGAGGGCCGCAGCCCCACGGAGTGAACCAAACGTCCCTTTTTGAAGGCCCGGAGGAGGAGGAGGAGCAGGAGGAGGAGGAGGAGGAGGAGGAGGAGGAGGAGGAGGAAGAGGAGGAGAACGAGGAGGAGGAGGAGGAGGAGGAGGAGGAGGGGTGGGGGGAGTGGGGAGGGGGGAGGAGGAGGAGGAGAAGGAGGGGTGGGGGGAGTGGGGAGGGGGAAAGGGCAAGCTAGGTGCGCTCGCGTCATATCTGGCGTCCTACCCCTCCCTCCCATCCCTTACCATGGCGTAGGTATCCTCTCTATTCGCACAGTCGGATGTCGAGCAGGGCAATGATCGCGAGAGGGTACGCGATGCATGGTAGAGCACGGCATGACATGGCGTAGAAGAGAACGGCAGAGCGTAGCATGCCATAGCATGGCGTGGCATTGCGCAGTGAAACATTGCAACGCAAAGCATGGCATCGCACAGCGGCGAAGAACACAGCACCGCACACCATGTCATGGCATGGCGCCAGGTTCATTGGAGGGTAGGTGGATCGTCTTCGTGAGGTTTGGTCCGGTCTGGAGTCGCGACTCCATGTCTAGTTCTTTGGGCTCCCCGAAAAGCTCCACACAAAGCGGGGCTGATGCAGAGCACCCGCTGGCTCTGCTTACAACATCGCTTTATCAAAGCAGAAGCGGAGCTCCCGCTTGATACTTCCTGAGAGCGGCAACGCCCCCAAAGTGGTTTCTGTGACCCTGAAAATCGAAACCGAATGTGTAATCACTTCCGATGGTTTTTGTTCGGGGGATTTTTTGTAAATTTTGAGGCCTATTTGGGAGGAAGGCCAGCGCTGCAGCGGGAGCATGATTCGGAACGAGCGGAAGCGCGGAAATGAGGCCAGCCTCTCAGCGGGAGCACCTTTTGAAACAAAACAAGCGAAAATCCATTTCCCGGGAATCTTGTGTGTAACAAAAATGTATGCGGAGGGGGCCGGATATCTTCCGGACGTCATCAGGGGCGAGAGGAGAGAAGTACTCAGATTGTGTAAATGTGGAGGAGAAGGAGGTGCGGCGCCTGACGTCTGCCTATTCGCAGGATTCGGACGCCTACAGCACCGTGGAGGCCTGCTCTCAGGATGCCGCCGCCTTCTCGACGGATAGCGAGTCGAAGGACGCCGAGCCCAACTCGCAGGATGGCTGTGCATACAAAGGCCCGAACCAGAGCGTGGGCGTGCTCATGGGGATCTTCCTCGTTCCGTGTACGCAGGAGCCCTTCGGGGAAAGAGGGGATCATACCTCCAGCGCCCGTGAGACAGCAGAGGACACAAGCAGCGCTGTGATTCTCGAGCCCCACGTCCCGGGGCCTTCTTCAGGCCCTCGGACCAGTCAGAGGCGGCCAGTGGCGAAAAGCTGGTCCAGGGGATGCGGTACGGTCGAACCAAGGTATAGGATCGAGGTCGGTTCGGGGAGGGTACCCTAATGCTCTTCGTGTTTGTCGGATGTTCTCTTGCATCCTGGAGGAGGGTACCCTTGGATGTTCTGTGTGTTTTGGCCGACGGGGGGGTTCATGTTCTTGAAGGATGTGTTCCTGTCCTAGGTCCGACCGTAAACCGCTCCAGAGCGAAACCCGTCGATTATCCACGGCGTCCGAGGTGTGGGGGTCACCATTGGGTGGGCGTCGCCTCGCGTGGGCGTGTCTGTGGCCAGGCTTCGCACGGCCACGTTTCGGCGGCGAGCGAGGAGGGGGAGGTGAGCAGGAGAAGGCCTTCTCGGAAGGCGGCGGGGCTCCTCGGAAGGCCTCCGGCCTTCCGAGAGAGGCCCTCTCGCGTCTGCGAGGGGAGGCTCGGGAAGCTCCTCCGACGGCCGGGGCACCTCCGAGGCTTCTGAGAAGTCCTGCCCCCTCTCGTTGCCCCCTTTCCGGGCCCGCCGCCACGCGTCGGCCTCCCGCCGTGCTGCGTGGGGTGTGTGGCGGGCGCCATGCCCCACGGCACCCGAGGGGGGGGCCTCCTCGCCTCGAGCCCCTGCGCCGACTTCGCTGGCTGCGTGGATGCTGCCTCGGGATCTCCAGGGGTGGGCGTTCTTCATTACTCAGCTACACTTGTGGTGTTCCAACCTACTTTAGCCTTGACCACCAGAAAGAATTTCGAGCACCAGAAAAGTGCCGAAGCTCTAGGGTTTTCACGCGCTGGGCCATGGGAGACACTCGTCCGACGCTGTTCCGACACTGTTTCGACACTCTTTGGACACTTTTCCGGGTGCTCGAAATTTATGGGATGTGGTCCTTAAGTACGATGGGAGCAACATAACGCTACACGCAAGAGTGATATTTGGCTGGAGGAGCGTGTTTCTCTCTTGCCTGGAGCATGATGGGCATTATAGCCTCCGTCCCCCCCCGCTCCCCCCCCATAACGTAACGCCCCTCTCCCCCCCCCGGTGCGCTCCGGGCACTGCCGCCGTGCGCATCGGGCACACGGCGGGAGGGAGGCGTTATATTGTACCCCCCCCCCGGCGCCCCCCCCACTTCCTATAATGCCCATTATCGCCGAAATTTAAAAACGCGCTCTTGGCTGGAGTGACATTTGGTGCGGGCCCAATGGGGCCCCCCGATCGCTGAATGCGATGCGGCGGCAGCGGCTTGCGCGCCTGGTGGTGTCCCCAGAGGGCCCCCTTTGGGCCGCGCACCAAAGGTCACTCATGCCAAGGGTCAGTCTTGTGCGAAGCCGAGTTGCTGCTGGGAGGTTCTCGGCAGAGCGGACGTCGAGGCCGTTTCTGGGGCATGCCCCGTCGAGGTTGCTTCCGTCCTGCCCGTAGGGCCTTCTGGGCGCGCGCGGGCTCATCCTCTTTTTTGTGTTTTGCTTCAAGCACTGCCGCTCCCGGGAACGGGGCGCCAGAGACTTCGAGGCGGCGCGCGATCCGCTGCGAGCAAACGTGTGCGTCCAGGACCAAGTGGCCAAGTTGTGGTTTCCCGAATGGTTTGTGCCCAAACACTTCAAGAAGGCTTGCCCATGAAGGTGTAGAGGATGGATCTGATGTCCGCGTTCTCTGGCCCCTGGCCCTTGGTTTTGCCTTTGCCGGATCCTGGATATTGCTACGTCTCTTCCGAGAGTTCGTTCGGCTCCTGCGGCTGTGTGTTTGCTGTCCTGTATTCGTTGTATCCCATGCTCCACGCGTTTCCAGTGCATCGCCGCTCCGTAGAGTAGAGTAGGATAGAGTGAAATAGGAGGAGGAGGAGGAGGAGGAGGAGGAGGAGGAGGAGGAGGAGAGAGTCGAAACCACATGGTGTAATGCTTTCTATAGCAGAGTTTGGCAGCAGAGTGTATCTTCCCCAAGCAGTGTTTGCGCTATGGCATCTTTTTCGCGAACCAGTGCAGTGTTTGCGCTTGGGGGGTCTTACTTCCTATTCATCCTCTAATGAACTGGGCCTGTCTGCCGCTCTGGCGGCTGTGTGGCCGCCGTCGCCACACCGTCGCCGCCTCGTCGCCGCCCGTTGTATGGGCCTGTCTGCCGCTCCGGCGGCTATGTGGCCGCCGCCCCGTCGCCCCGTCGCCGCCTCGAGATCGAGTGTCCCGAAAACATCAAAATACTTATGGCTATGGTGTTCCAACCTACTTTAGCCTTGATCACCAGAAAGAATTTCGAGCACCAAACAAGTACCGAAACTCTAGGGTTTTCACGTGTCGGGCCCTGGGAGACACTCGTCCGACACTGTTTCGACACTCTTTCGACACTCTTTGGATACTTTTCCGGGTGCTCGAAATTATTTCTGGGATGTGGTCTTTCAGTACGATGGAAGCAACATCAGCTTATGGTTTCGCATCACGGACTTTCAAAACAACTATCCCGGCGCAGGACCCAAACATACGCAGTTGTGAATACCGCGTTCTGGGTACCGCTTTCAGTGGAGTTCCATCTGGGGCCACGAGCCGTGTGAGGGGTGTGCCAACATGGGCGTCGGGCGCATGCGGCCTGTGCTGGTGCCTTCGGTGGAGCTGCCTGTGGGGCCACGAACAGTGTGAGGGGTTTTCTAGAATGGGCATCGGGCGCATGCGGCCTGGCCCCCTGGTGCCTTCAGTGGAGTCCGTGGAGCTCCCTATATTGCCACGGACCGTGTGAGGGGGGTGCTGGGCGTCGGGCGCATGCGGCCTGTGCCATTAATGCCTTCGGTGGAGCTCCCTCTGGGGCCACGAACCGTGTGAGGGGTTTGCTAAAATCGGCGTCGGGCGCATGCGGCCTGTGCCACTTTTGGTGGTGGAGCTCCCTATGGGGCCACGAACCGTGTGAGGGGTGTGCCAAAATGGACGTCGGGCGCATGCGGCCTGTGCCAGTGTGGCCTGCGGTGGAGCTCCCTATAGGGCCAGGAACCGTGTGAGGGGTGTGCCAACATGGGCGTCGGGCGCATGCGGCCTGTGCCACCGGGGCCTTCGGTGGAGCTCCCTATATTGCCACGAACCGTGTGAGGGGTGTGCCAAAGTGGGCGTCGGGCGCACGCGGCCTGTGCCAGTGTGGCCTGCGGTGGAGCTTCCTGCGGGGCCACGAACCGTGTGAGGGGTGTGCCAAAATGAGCGTCGGGCGCATGCGGCCTGTGCCACCGGGGCCTTCGGTGGAGCTCCCTATGGCGCCTCGAACCGTGTGAGGGGTGAGCCAATATGGGCGTTGGGCGCGTTCGGCCTGTGCCGGGCGTCGGGCGTATGCGGCCTGTGCCACTGGTGCCTTCGGTGGAGCTCCCGGGCCACGAACCGCGTGAGGGGGGTGCCACAATGGGGGCGTCGGGCGCATGCGGCCTGCGCCATTAATGCCTTCGGTGGAGCTCCCTGTGGGGCCACGAACCGTGTGAGTGGTGTGCCAACGTGGGCGTCGGGCGCATGCGGCCTGCGCCATTGGGGCCTTCGGTGGAGCTCCCGATGGGGCCACGATCCTCGTGAGGGGTGTGCCGAAATGGTGGACATGCGGAGAGCAGAGGCAGGAAGGGGAGTAAGGAGGAGGGGGCAGCGGGATGTGAGGTGAGTGACGCGGGGCGCTGTCTCCACAGGATGGTCGGGAATAAAAACCTGCGCTCGCGCTCTCGCAGATTCCGAACAATACCACATGTTCCCATAATCTGCTACCAAAGTGATTTCTCGCGCGCGCATGTCGAAATCGCTCGAACGCCCTTGCGCGCGTGCTGTCGCAAGAATCCCTTGCCAGAATCGCGACGAAGTGCGCACGCGCGCGTCGTCGCGCGCGCATGCCGAAATCTTTCGAACAGTTTAGGTTTCGCATGGATTCAAAATCGAGCGCCACGAAAACATGTTAAAACACATATAGCTTTGCAACAACAGTTTTCAACTATGCTTGCGTCCGCGCTCCTGCAAACTCTTGAAGGAATATTGCGCTTGTCAAGATTGCCATTACATTCGACCACGCGTGCTCCTCGCGCCGCACGTCGACATCATTCGATCGCCCTTGCGCGCGTGCTGGGAGGGGACACGATCCGTGTCAAAGAACACCATGCGGGCCACTCGCGCGTCGGCCGCGCGCGCATGTCGAACTCCTTCCAAAACCTTCATCACCGACGCGAGGGCGCCGTCATCGTCGTCACTGGCCTTGCCGTCGTCGCTGTCATCATCCTCATCACATGCATCGCTACCATCATCATCTGGTCTACCGTTGTCGACGTTGCCATGAAACCGCGCCTGGCCAAGTCGCCGACTCTCATTGAAGTGCCCGCTGGGAAGTGCCCAGCGGTCAGCGCCGCAGCGGCCGCGCCGGTTGCGCCAAACCGTCTGGCCTCTGCGCGCGCGATCGTGCGAGGGCTAGCGCGGCCACAGAGATGCACCAGCCAACACCAAGTACTCATCGCAGTCGCCTCCGCATGGGTTTTGCAAATTAAGCTGCGGGCGGGCGGTTGGGGTGATTGCGCGAGGAGTGGGGTGAGAATTCATTGCGAACAGATAGTAATTTACATTTCTACAAGAGAATTAGGATGGACCCCCACCCTCCCCGGAGTTGACGGGCCACCTTATCGCATTGCGATGTGCGTAAAATTTTGCCCCAGAGTTCATGCCAACCCAGGCGATCCCGGTACCGACCCCCCTCCCTCTTCCCTGTCAAATAAAATTATGCGCGCGAGCATTCGGGTATAAAAATCAGCAGTTTTGAAGAACCCTTTCTGCAAAAAGTGAAACGAAGTACACTCGCGCGCGTCGTCGCGCGCGCATGTCGAAATCCTTCAAAAACTTTCGATTTCGTAAGGAACTCATAATCGAGTATCCCAAACACATAAAGAAACA